TCCTCTGTTCCGTTGCTTTGTTTTGATTATGCTATGATGAAGAAAAAATCTGCCTAAAGATTTCAACTTTCAACACTATAAACAGATGCTTTGATCAGACAAAAATCTTTGTTGCATCTACACACTGGCAGGTTCAATATAGCCTCAAATCAACACTTTATAGGTGAGAGTTAAACAAGAAGATCGGAACAATGCTCAAGTCTTTATGCTTAATGTGAAATTTGATCAGTAGGCCTACACTGTTCCCTGTATGGAAATGGGGAAATATTTTATAGAATTATGGCTATTCCTGGCAAGAAAACAATGCTCTCCCACAAATTTTTGGTTAATGATTTTGTGTAAAACCAAGTCAGGTGTGTCTTGTTCTTTACTATGATTTATAGATGAGAAAGAAAGACACACTGTTTTCATAAAAATATGATTAGAAAAAAAGCTGTCAAAGATTTTTCTGATGGTAAGGGTTTTTGTTTTTTTGTCTCCTAAGTTATGAATGGTTCTTTTACCCCTGGATACTAAAAAGGTAAAAGCTAACATCATATTAGTGATGCAGGCTATTCAGGGACAAGATATGGCTCTAAAGGGCCTTTCACCTAAAACTTTAAATGGCAACAAAACATTATTTCTCTGACAACAACCAATTGAAAGAGAACAAAAACTACCTTAAATAAAGGGAGATACAAAACAGGCTAATTGAAACACACAGTTGGGTCAGTGGTGTCATGTATGTCTTCTGGTTCCACTTCTGTAAATGGATTACATATTCGATTCATGCTGGCTACACAACTGTGGTGTGTGCATTACTGAGCATGCCAGCCGAGTTGTGCCTCGGGGAATTAGGGAATTAGGGAAGTCTGTGTGGAGGCTGAATGTACTATAGTGATATAGCTTTGTCGCCACCCTTTGTCAAAATGAGAACACTTCACTGAGGAGGAGGCAGAGGAGGTCAACACGTTCCCTGTGCTTTCTCTTAAAGTGAGCCCTCTGGTGACAAAAGCCTGACCCAACAACAAGCAGCCTGGGCCCATTTCCTGTGGGATGGAGGGAGAAGTTGCTCAGGGAAGGAATATAATAACAGAGCCTTCCTTTGTAGATAAAAATTACATAAACATAACACATAAAACAAATTCCAAAAACAGAAACAGCATCTATGACCAGCTATGTTCAACAGACTGGCAAAAAGAGACTTTGTTTGCTGCTACTGTGCATTTCATAAATGGTTTTAATACTGTTGCCACAATGTTATTGTTGAGAATATCAAAAATGAAAACAGGTGATCCTGATGACACAAATTAAAAATCTGCAATTACTTGCTGTTTCCCTAGATATACCAAGCTAAAACTAATGCAGTTTGATACAGCAGCCCTGCAATAAATCACATCTCTTCATGAAGGTTAGAATATTCAGTTTTTATTGAAACTGTTGCAGAGAGGTATAGATTCAGTATTAGTTTTTGGTTGTTTCTTATTGCAGCTGTAGTTGGTGGCGCTGGTGAAAATTTATTTTTAGTGGTGGAAAAAGTAAAAGTAGCAGTACTACTGTGTAAAAAATTCTGAAAACAAGTATGTCTCCCTTTCAAAATCATGCTACCTGAGTAAGTAAAAGTAAAAGTAAAAGTAAGTAAGTAAGTAAGTTACTCATAATGCAGACTGGTCCATTTCAGAGAGATGTACGCTACATTATATTACTGGATTAAAGTCAGTGATGAATGTGTAAGCATCACTGGTGTTTCAGCTGCCAAAGGTGGAGCTAATTTTATCAATTTTATAGTTTACCAAGTAATTAAATTAATAAAAATACATGAGTTTATTAGTTGATTTATATTTTGGATTATCAATTTGAATCTGTAAGGGAGCCAAACTAATAGGCCGAACCAATAATGTAAGAAAAACACTGCTGTGGAGTAAAAAGTGTAGTATTAGCTTCAGTTGTGCCCCAGAAGTTATTCATAGGGGCTGCCAGATGGGCCAACGAAAATCTTGAGGTAGCACACCAAAGCCAAATGTCTTAACTGAATTTCAAATTCTTTTATCTTTATGCTGTCGAATTACTTAAAAGACAAACATCCAGCAGCTTTAATTTGAATGACTGCATTGATTGTAAGGAACGAATCATTTACAGTGAACAATCCTTCTCAAGTTTAGGGCAGACTCGTGGGCACCAATAGAACCCATTTTCATTCAGATATCTGGTCAAGGGTCCCATTTAGTAAAGGCCATGCCAGTTGTTCCCGCCAAAATTTTAAAAAGGGTTCTGCAGTGAATAGAACAATTTTGAGTGGATGCCACAGCAGTTGCATGCACATACTGGTGGCAGAAAAACAGTGGACATCAGAGAGAAACAGTTGATATACCTAGAATAAAAATATCGTCTTGTGCCATTGGATGTCAGAAAAGGAATAACAGTTACAGATTAAGATAACCTTCATTTTTATAGAAAACTGTCGCAGAGGACGACGTAGTAGAAAACAAAGTTTTGTCTCCAGTTAATCATAATCTCAGTATTCAAGATATAATCGCTGCTGGATACTCTAGTTGGATACTTTGGCTTATTGTCCCTGATTAATACTTGTAAGGACGTCCCCATGTAATATAATTTGGAAGTAACATACAACTTTTTAACTAGCTAGCTAACGCTGTCTGGTCATTAACTCCTTGATCATAACAGAATGGAGTAACTTTCACCACTGTTCATTTTAGAAAGGACACCACAAGAAAATATGTTCTTTATTTAAATTGATAAACGGACAATGGATCATCGTTTGTTTCTAGCTGCCAGCAATCAGCTATAGGTAGCACGCTAGCTACGTTAGCTACATCACTAATGTTAGGGTGCCTTAACTTTCCCAGCCTGGATGCAGATGTGAACCAATCCAAACACATATTATAGGATTTCTTGCGGTGGCCTTTCTAAAGTAAACAGTGGTGAAAGTCAATATACTTTGTTACGATCAAGGTGTTAATGAGCATACAGTATTAGGTAGCTAGCATACTAGCACATTGATAAGTTGTACTTCCACATTGATTAATATTATATGGGGACATCTCCACATTTATCAAGGACAATAAGCCAAATCCATGCTTAACAAATGGGAGTTTTTACAATTCTTATGATAATTTATTTTTCACTATTATATTATATTATATTATTATTATATATATTTAAGTTATTCAAATAAGCTGAAAACACACTTCTCTACTGAGCATTGAGCAGTCGTGATTATAGCCTAAATATCGAGATTCTAATTAACTGGTGACAAAACTTTTTTTTCCACTACATGTAGATCATACATTCGTGGATATAAAAATGAGTCATTGCAATCGATTAAGAAATATAAACGTTATAGTGCTTTTTACATTTTATTTGGCACTCACACAGCTGCTGTTTCTGCCACCGGTTCAGCTCCGCCCACAAAGAAACATCATCATTGTTTACAAACACAAAAAGGGCCGCGTCCATACAGAGATCACGGGCCGTTACTTGTTATGAACATTAATAACGTTATCTCTTGGGGCACTCAGGACCCCAACATCGACTGCTACCACTCTTGCGGGAGGAGGACGGGGCTGCTGTCCAGGTGCACCGCTGTGATTGGAAGACAGTGAAGTTTTAACGCTACGGGAGGAAAAGAAATGAACCTCCAGCTAACGGACGGCGCCCTGATTTGTCAAAGTGTTAATCTGTTAAATGAAGCTCGCTGACAGTTGTTTTTTTTTGTAGTTTTCTTTTTTGTTTTTTTTCCAAACAAACCAATGACAAGCAAAACAAACATATAAACAAACAACAATAAAAAACAACAACATACAACCATTATGATACACCACAGTTCGAAAGATCACAGAAAACTACAGAGCACGCTAGCAATTAGCTTGCCTTGCTAGGTTAAAATATCGTTAACTTTAACATGGCCTGAGCCAGCTTAAGGTAAACATCTGCTCCTTCTAAAGATGATTTATGATGACTTATTAAGACACATAACACATATGGCAAACATTTAACATCATTCAGTAACTGTAGCACCATGTAAAGTGAATGAATGTGATGTTTCCCAGCTAATCCTCCACTTGTCTACGTTAACGACACAATTTACCCGTTTTTTTAACAGTAAATCAGTAACACATTCTCAGCCCTAATGACTATACACATTTCAAGGTATGTTGCCAAGTTTATTTTCTAATGTAGGTTGAGAATGAAGTCAGACGGGGAAAGACAGGGATATCATGTACTGACGTTGAGTGACAGACCTGTCAGTCTATGTGTCATTCTATTCTGCTAATTCTGATTTAATACTTTTCCGCTATGCCTCGTGAAACTCTTGTGGTTTTATTTCTCATATCAGTGGTGCCTTTTGCAACGGGAACAATCCCTTTTTGTTCTGGTTACATGTTCAACACACAGTCAACAAAGACAAAAAAATTAGCTTAGACTGGTTGTTAGTCGTTACAGACATGGACAGTGCAACAGGTACCAGAGCTTCACAAAGACATTTTAGAAAAGTTAACATTAGTTAAATATTTGTTAAAAAATAAATAAGTATTTACTAAACTGATGGCAAATTACTTTCAAAAAGAACCAGCGTTGGCAGTTAGCCACCAAGAGTAGCCACTGGGACTAACCACAGTCTAGACAGTCTAGGGGACTAACTAGCTTACTGCTACTTCCGCTATCTCCCTGGAAGTTGGGCCCATAATCCTTTCTACAGTAGGCCTAGTGTCCTCAAGAATAAGGTAGATAGGAGAATACTTATGAACCAAAACACACTATGATTAGTCACACTGCACTGAAGCAGTTTGGCTAATGGGGTTTTAAACCCTTTAAATAAATATTTTACTTACTTTCTGAGGGTAAGAACACACGGTTTGACTGAAAAAATGATTGTATGCTAGAGGAAGACCCCCTAACCCGTGTGCAGGCCATTTAGAGCTCATCCACCTTTACATTAAAGCCACGACGACATGTTCTCCAGTGAACTAACGTTAATCAGTTGTAACTACCCAGCGCGCGCCCACCGGTCACCTCACAGCTCAGTTGCAGTGAGTGGAGCAGAGCCGCGCGCACGCAGAGATCACCAGCCGTTGCTTGTTATTAACGTTAATAACGTTATCTCTCGCGTCACTCAAGTCCCCAACATCGACTGCTGCCGCTGCGCAGGAGGAGGACAGGACTGCGGTCCAGGTGCACCGCTGTGATTGAGAGACAGTGAAGTTTTAACGCTACGGAGAAGAAAAGAGATGAACCCCCAGCTAACGGACGGCGCCCTGATTTGTCGACAAGTGTTTATCTGTTAAACGAAGCTCGCCGACGGCTTTTTATCGGTGATGGGATTCCTTCAGGAGCGACCTGCCGCCTAACGTTAACCACCTTTAAGGTAAGCTAAACGACGGTTAACTAACGAAAGATAGTGTGGCGGACAGGAGTGGGATGCTGTGGTGGCTCAGGCAGCGTATGGGTGCTCTGTTTTGGGGAGTTTGTGTGGGCGAAAGTTAACTACAACATCCCGTCGGTTAGTGAGTCGGTAATATGGATGTCAGTTATAGTGAAACACTCGGGCCAAGTGTCCTCTGGATCTCGTGTTGGAGCAGGCTGCTACACGCTCTCCTCCACAGTATCATCACCATTATCGGGCTGTTAGTATTGTCTTTGCTGCGGTTTGGCACAGCTGTGAACCAGCTATCAGTGAACATTATCAACGCACGCAAACTTGTGCTAAGTGAGTGCAAATGGGACAGACAACAAGGCTGCCATTGTACCAGATCAGAGGCGGATTAACGGAATTCCTTTTCTCTGCACTGTCTCAATGGCCTCCAGTCTCTCTCTCTCTCTCTCTGCCTGCCTGCCTCTGTGGGTATAACATCTTGATTTCTACCTTCCTCCACCTCTGTTACTTGTTAGAAACACCGAAACACCTCAGTAACCAGAGCCGAGCAGAGATGTCCAACTGAGCCATTGAGAAACATGTGGATGGGACAGAGCTGGCTGGATTGTTGTGGTTATTGTTATCAGAGCTTCTAGCTGGGGAAAGGTGATTTGTAAACAGCAAGAGTGCAACTCACATTTATCTTCATTAGTGATTAATTGTTAAGTCAATAAAAAAGAAATACCTATCATAGCATCCCATCTTTAAATTGCGTATGTGCGACCAACAGGCATAACACCAAAAGGGATTTAATGAAAATGAAAAGCAGAAAATCCTCACATAACCAAAGAATGTTTGGCATTCGGCATAACCAATAATCAAAATTGCTGGAGATTAAGTTTCTGTTAATCGACTAATTGTTTCATCTCTAGTGAACTGCATTGCAAGGTGATACCACTGGCCTTCAAACCTGGTGTGTTTAGAGTTAATGAGCATGAGAGGACAAATGTGTGTCAAATAGGTCTTTGGGGTGTTTATCTTTCCTGCTGTTGTCTCATGACTTATCATCAGTGTTAGCATTGAAGGATAAATTATGTAGTCCTAAAAAAGTCTAATTATATCCCACAGGCAATCAGACATGATAGCAGTTGTAGCTCTTTTCAAAGACAATAAACCAACCCAGATTTTCTATTTCTTACTCATCCACCCCTCCCAACCTCCTCCCATACACTTGCACATCATGCACAACATGCACCATCCCCAGTCCCCCCCCCTCCCCCGTGTATGTGGCCAACCAACATGTGGGGAGGTAATCCCAGCTATTAGGGTAATCTCCTCAGCATGACGATCAATAGGGGAGGGTGTGCGACGACTACCAGACAAGAGTAGCGGGGGGACAAAATTTGTGCTAAAGAAAAATGATTTAATCATCCAGATTAGGTCAGGAGACTGGGGTCTGGACAGGGGCTTGTTGCTGGAAGGGGGGAGGGGTGCAGACAGAGCAGACAGGAAGATGTGAGGGGTAAGGCCATCTCCACTTTGGGCAGCTCCCTTGTGTGACAATGGGCTGAGACATTTTGTTTTCTGTAATCTGGAGTATGACAACAACAAAATACGGCTTCAAATGCACAGTGCCAAACCCATTATGGGACTGCTGCAAGCGTGTCAGTGTGACAAGGAAAAACATTACTACAAAATCACAAACAGAAATCACACTGCATGGCGTTGTAAACAGCATTTAACAAAACAAAAAAACCCTCAAAAATAGCAAGAGATGATCAACTGCAACAAATTACATTTTGAGTCTTTAAACTCCTGTGAGGTACTTCAAGGAGAGGAAATTGTAAAGGAGGAAAATCCCAGGAGAAATAGGTGTTCAAAACAGGTCAAAGTCATCATGCTGTTGTTCCTGTGAACGCATTAAGAGGTTGTTAAACCACAGCATGTGCCGGTGGCTTACATCCAAAATATCTTGTAGACCAACTCCCTTTATTCACCCTCATATGAATATGCGCACAATTTGAAAAAGTCACAGATATACCAGTAGGTTACAGCAATAAATTATTATTTCTGTTGTGTATTTTTGTATTTAATTATAAAGCATTTAACCGTTGAATACCTTATTATGATACCTAAAAGTTTCAGAAAAGCACCTGAGCTGGCACAATACCTAATAATGTAATGTAAGTGCACAGGGCCATAAGTCTGCAAAATATAGTAATCTGTTTCTAAAATGGTGTGTGTGCATACATGTGCACATTCCTGCTGAGTTTGCTTCCTCTGCTATTATGTTATAACCCCACAGCAGAGCATACAGATGGACCACATATTGGATTCAGTGCAGTGTTAACATATGCTACCCGTCTCTCTCGTGTTGTCTTTGTCTGTATGGGGTGTGTTGGTCCAAGCTACCTGGACCTTGTGGCCCAAAATATTAAACAACTTATAGGGACAACATGTAAACAGATGGGAAAGGAAGCATACACCTAGTTGCTGCATCATACCATGGCAAGACATCTGATGTAATTAGAGCTGAAACAATAAGTCTCTGGATAAACTTTTATTGGTTTCAGCTTTTCAGATATGAATATTTGCATTTTTCGGATTAAATATTTCAACTTGTCATCAGGAAATTGTGATGGGCATTTCTGGCACTTTATGGCCCAAACTATTATTTAAGAAATTAGAAGATTAAATTAATTCCATTTACATAATTTTACAATTTTTTATATAATGATCCCGCAATACTGACGCAATGAAGTATTTCAATACACTTTTTTAGACAGAACCAAACAATGTCAGTGTAATGCTGCCACAATGTGTGATTTTGGATAGCATACCACTGTGCCGCCAGAGGCATGATGGGTGTGACATGTAACACTATATCGTCAGCTTCTAGTTTGACATATAACATACACATCAAGCAGTACTTTACAAACAATAAAAGTGGCATAACATGGCAATAACAATCATTTAAAGTCTCAGTTAGATGTCGGTCAGTCTTGTCCATTGCTTGCAGAGTAAAGACCTCCCAGACCTCACTGTCTCCCCAATTATTGGTTGCTGTACTTCTGCTTTGAGTTAGCCACTAACCACTGCTAGCTGCTTTTTAAATCTTGCGGTGGTGGGTCACACACACAGCACATCGTCAAAACAAAACGTTACACCTGTCCCATCCTACCTGTTCACACTTTTTACACAGATGACAGTTCGACTCTTAAATCCCCCATTGCGTGTTTGTACAATACAGAACAGCAAAGTGGAATAACAGAGCAACATTCCTTCCTTGAACAGGCTGTGTAAAAGGGGCCACTGTTTATCACCGAATGAGGTTACACGATGATGATTAAGCCTTTAGCACACTGATGAAAGAATGGAGATATTAGTATTATTAACTGAGTTTCAAGGGTGACATTCAGAGAAAAAATGCTGTGTGAAGTTACTGCTAATGCAAACCAAAAATTTTCGACTGCTGCACCTTCACATTATTACCTGGCAAAACACAAATTAACTTACTATAAAGTAGTCAGAGGAAATGAGGTGAGCTTAGCACTTAGCGCAATAGTCCATCAAAGGCGTGTCTACAAAACAAGACAATGATCATTTTTAGCATGTTTTGACAGTGGAATAGTTAAAGATATTGCAGGAAGAAGGAGCAGTCACAGTGAGCTGTTCAATTAAGCAGGTGACAGGCTGCACACCTCCAACTAAATGAGGTAACCAGCGCCTTTCACTGTGCCCTGCAGTCTGCAGACTCATACTGTTTGCAGCATAAATTGTTAAAAGTTGCTCACAGAATGATTGAAAAAGGCTAATTGTTGCCTGATTTCTTAATTTAAATGACAATAGTTTGTTCTGCCCCCCCCCCGAACTCTTTGAACTGTCATATTAAATTGCATTTGTTGTTATAACAAATCAACCAGTACTGAAATATTGAAGATTGCTACTTTAATCGCTAATGAAAATAACAGTTAACTGATGTTAAGATCTGTCAGCACGTTCTGTTAAAGAGAACTAAATCAGTGTATATGTCAAACATTTTTTGAAATTGGAAAAAAAATGAGCATTTACTGTAGGAACTGTTTCAATGTCCCTGCCATCATAAACTCAAATATTACTCTTTATATGAAGAGTGTTGTAGTCTAATTAAAGTCAGGCACAGGTCTAGTGCAGTGCAGCATTCCTCTCTGGTTACAAAGCAACTTCTCTTTGATAATATCTCGTCCACCAAAACAAAGTGGAAGTAAATACTGAATGGGTTTTGTGATGAATCAGATACATTCCTTGGGAAAAAAAAGAACTTGCCCTTTAAGTCTCCAGTGGAGGAACTGGAGTGCAAACACTGGCAAAATGTCCAGATGGAAGATGGGAGGGATGAGTAAGGCGTTCACAGATCCCTTCTGTTTGGCCCCGTTGAGACAGAGGGAGACGAGATTGGATGGGTCTGAGGGAGTCAGGTTACTTATCGGCCCATTCTACTCCAAAGAAGCGGTGGTGTAAAAGATGCAATACCCCCTATGGGAAACCTAATCCAGACCCTACTGCCAGCTGTCATTCTTTTGCTCCAGGGTAAAATCGCAGGTATCGCCTTACCCTTCAATCCTTACCTTAATCATAGCAGGAAATAGGGAATTACACACATGTTGTTCCTGTAGTACAACTCAGCATCTTCTATGTAATCTGAGAATCTTGATCTTGTGCATTGATCTACATATCACAAAAGAGCAATCCCATAGGCAAAGTACTGGTTGTAATCATGACATTATGCTATAGGTTTGATCAGTTATTAAGTTTTTGCATTTGGCTGAGATCAACACCAAATTCTTATCCAGATCACAGAGGAAAAATGTAAACACTAAAAGGATTTCTGGCCTAATTTAAATATTTCAGTGTAATATATATTGTATCACACTTTAAAAGATCACAGCCATACAAAGCTCACTACTGAGATAAAATACCCTTATCACAAAAGGTCAAGATGGTTAAGATAAAAAGGGAGCAGCTCTGAATTA